AAGGGCGTTTGAAATAGCGCTTTAAAAGCAAGCCGATTCAACTTAAGGTAAGGGTTAGGGTTAGGTTTAGGGTTAGGTTTAGGGGTTAAGTTTAGGTTTAGGGTTACTTTTATAGCGCGCTTCTGTCTCCGCGCTGTTGTCGCCCTGTTGATGACGTCAGCGACGCGGTTTAGTCGGGCGCGGTTTAGTCGGGCGCGGTTTTGTCGGTGAACCGCACCTGATTTTGTTCCCTGTGCAGATGGGACTTCTCTTTCTGATCTACATATGGTTTAGATTACAACTCACAAACTGACCATTTACTCACTAGCAATTTCTAACATAATCTAGCCCTCATTATGGAGATATAAAGTCTGTCTCACTAATCTTACATAGCCATTGACTGAGTTGTAATTTACAGAACTGGCAGGCACCAGTTTGAGAATCAGAAAACTTTTCACCCAAATGTAATTTCAACCGAAGTCAGCAGGGACTCTTTTCCAGTCCATCTGGATAGAATGGCACTCTTCCTCTGCACTTGGACCAAGTAGCAATTTTTGCTTGTTTCCTCTTCATTTCCCCCAGTCATTTTGAAGTATCTTCTACATTGCATAACAAAATGTTTTTAAAATTCTACTCATATTTGCCAAGTCAATTTATCATAAGATACAAGGAACTACAGTTCCCAAAACTATAGATGCAAATCTCCTTTCCTTTTAGACTCAAAAAATAAATGACTTATATGTTTCAGTCCTGGCAGCATTCCCTTCTTCCTGCTAAAGAGGTTTCCCTAACTTTAAAAAGTGAATTTCCTTCTCCAATCAAAAAGCTTCCAGACTACAGTTCTCATAACTCTGAATCAACATGAGAATTTGTAGACTTAATCCATTAGGATGTTATTAGACTGGAAAAGACAGTCCCACTTTAATAGAAGCTGGTAAAATTAAAGGCATCACATGGTGGTTCACCATCTAAACATCTAAGGTAAACAAATATGTTGGTAAGCACAGAACATGCAAAAATACACAGAAGACAATAGAAAAGCCCAACTGAATTTATGGAACCAATTCTCTATGGTGTTTTGATAAAATTAACTGTATCTATTCTTCCCATCCTTAAATGGATGAAAAGGAGAGTCCAAGTCTCTCAAATAATCTTGAAATAAGCAGGTGATACACAGTTTCTATGGTGGATAACAGGATGTGTATATGGAAATTGGCAGCATACTTGGTTTTGTAAATGAGTCACATGTCTAAACTAAACGCTCAAAGAAAGAAACACAATTTTTAGGGAAGAAGCTTGGACTAAATCTTCTTACAATTTCAGCAAGATAGCTCCCAGGAAAATCTTTTCATGGCCTCCTCCTACATTTTCACAGATACCCATCTCTGGTGAGATAGAAATGCTCATCCCAACCCCTCAGGACGTAATCATGAATGTAGAAGGGTGGTGGAGTGATACTACAAGCTGTTAGTCCCTCTTCGGGTCGTAACCCTAAATTGTATCTCTTCTATCCACAAATCTGGCCCTGGGTCAATTTTGAGTTAGTCACAAAAACTGTGAATTCCAGATGCTGGGCAGTGAGAGTGGCAGAGCAGAAACATCTGGGAGGAAACCAGTGACTGCGATACATGGAGAGATAGATAAGAGATTCTTTCAATTTCCCTTTATCCATGGAGAGCATGATTGTTACTAAAAAAGGGCAAGTGGGGGTGCTGTACAATTTCTGCTGCTATAAACTGCAAAAGATGGGGTTTTTAAAAGAATATGGCTGCCAAGAACAGATCAGATGCAGGTGCAAGATCTCAAGCCTTGGGTTGTTTACATATTTCCTCCCAGCTGTCACTAATGGAGCACTAGAGCATGCGGGTGTGTTTTTCACCAAGAAGCAACAGCTGCACTTGTTCTACTTTGACAGAATGTCAAGCAATTGCTGCTCACAAAGTGGCACAATTCAGACAACCCACTCCCGACTTCTCCCTGCACCCAGTGGACGACACCCACAGGATGGGCGGTGTTTGAATGTGTGTGTGTCAGAGAGACAAGCAGACAGAGAGGCAGAGATGAGGCACAAGTGGAGAGGAGGAGGAGAGTGGTATGTGAATTGGCATCAAATCTGCCTGGTAGTTGGGAGTCACTTACTGGGCTTAGCTCGCCAAGGGGGTGTGAGGTGGAAGAGGAAAAGTTCATCCTGGCATTAAATGCATGGAATTCAGTTCAATGCCTAGCCTAATGTACCTCAAAATCACAGAGAGGGAACTAATCAGTTATGTGTATGCCCTTGCACTGTTGCTCACTATTATCAAATCAGATTTTTATGACCCAAATAATTTGTATCATGCTTCCTTCAAGGTATTCAGCAACCACTTTTTAAGAGAGGGAAATGATTTTAAAGGCTTTCCTTTACGAGGTTCCATGGAATTAACCTTCCATGGATGCCCCTGGCTTTCCAGGCATTGAAGGAGCAGTGGGAGTTGGGGGGGGGGGAGGGATCTAGCAGGATCTCTGTTTATCTTCTTTTTTCCCTCCCCCCCCATGCCCTCCTCAAACTCATCAGTGGGAGCAAGAAAACAAAGGTTCAGCCAGCCCCCATGTCTGCCACAACTCAATAAGGGGTGTGGGGAGAAACGTAAACATCATAATTACTTTGGGTTCTGTTTTCAAAGGCGCTGAAGAATCCCTAAGGCACATTTCCCTCACAGTTAAGGCACAGAGGCAGACTCATCACAGACAGCAAGGACCGCAGGCATGAACCATACCCCCAAATCCAGGACGCAGCCTGTTGTCATAGCCATCCAAGAGACGGTCCAGGATGCGCGTAAAATTCTCCGGCCATAATTTCTCTTGTCCCGGGAGCGCGGTGACACTGGAAGCCAAAGGAAAGAAAGAGTGAATCCAGGGGGGCAACATATGCGAAATTAGGAAAGAGAGCGCGATCAGACCGCCACCATCGGGGAAGGGGAGATGGAGCCTTGGTTCGCGCCCACTCCCAATTTTCTGCCCCCTCCCATCCCTAATTGTGGGCATCAGGTACAGGTGCAAGGCAACTGGAAGAGCAGCGGCGGTGGCGGCAGGAGGCGAAGAAGCGAAGCGAGGACTAGAGTAGCTTACCAGGTCGCCCAGCACAGGAAAAAGATGATCGACAGACCCGAAAACATAGCGATCGTTGGCTCCTTGGCAGAAACCATCTTCGCTTGCCATACTTTAACCCTGGTTGCGCGTTTCCCCGTCGCTACACGCCTCGTCCAGAGAGGAGATCACCCGGCCACTAAAGGGGGAGGGGGCGGGGGAGCGAGCGGGGTGGGGGGGGAAGGAAAGGAGGGGCGGACGATCCCGCCACTGGCACGCACGATCTTCCAGCCGGGAGCCCGCCTAGACAACGATCCGGTACACGCCGAAAGGCAAAAGGAGGAGGAGGAGGAGGAGGAGGAGGAGGAGGAGGGCGAGGAAGTAGGGCCCGCTCCTCAGGCTAAGCCCACGCACAGCCCAAAGCTACATCTTGTCGGAGCCGGAGCCGAGGCACGTTAGCGCCTGAGCTCCCCTGCTAGTCCTTTCCCTTCACTCTTTGGGGATTCTACGCTTTCAAACCCCACCTCTTCCTCTCCCCCCCCCACTTCTCTCCTTCCCATTCCCATTATTCCGATTCATCTCCCCTACGCCTCATTTTTGCTTCGGTTTTAATTTTTCTTTCTCCGCTTTAGCATGATTGGGGGTTAACTTAATTTCTTGGAGTTCTCTGCGCGGATCGGCAAAACCATTCTCGACATAATAGCCAGCCATTAATAGCAGTTAGACTTATATACCGCTTGATAGCCTCTCTAAGCGGTTTACAGAGTCAGCATATTGCCCCCAACAACAATCCGGGTCCTTAACACTGATGACGTTCCCTAGCTGGGTCCTGAGACGTCTCCAAAGCCCCCGCCGCCCATCCACCTCAAAAGGCCATACCTCAAACCCCCCTCCCCAAACATCCACCCTCCCCCCTCCCCATCCCCGCCTCCCAGAGCGCAGCCCCCTCCCTTCCCCCCCCCCCCCCCCC